CTACGGTATATCTCGATGAACTCAGAAAGACTAAAATCGATTGTTCTCACAAAGATAGAATTTAATCAGTTCACAATTTTGTGTTTATCCTATGATAGTTGTGGGAAATCAAAACATCATTCCCGATGCATATCATATAGTTGTTTATCTAGTCAAAAATCAGGAAATGTGTTACTTAGAATATTGAAATAGTTTGAAGGAAGATTTTGAAATGTTCTAGAATCCTCTAATCCATGCTATTAATGTCGTTCAACGTCTTTAATTCCAGTTGCTAAGGGCTGCAATTAAGGAAGGGAATCATGACCTTTAACCCTAATTGCTGGGATCTAGAAAAATAGAGCCGCGAAAACTTCCATTCATATTTACACCCACTATTTTCTTCTAAAACATAAGTAAGTTCCACTAAATACTACTATGAAATCTCTAACAAAAACGCGAATTACAACTACTACAGTGACGGCGACAACGACTACAACAACAACTACAACAACAACAACGGCTACGACAACAACCACGACCACGACCACAACTTCAACAACAACCACGACCACAACCTCAACAACTACCACGACCACAACTTCAACAACCACTACGACCACGACATCAACCACGACAACAACCGTGACCACGACGACAACAACAACTGTGACCACGACGACAACAACAACTGTGACCACAACAACAACCACGACAACCACCACCACAGGTAAAAATATGCGAAAAAAATAACTCACGAAAGACTTTTCGAGATTTTCACTACCTTGGTCCTATACTGACGGCATACTCATAAGAGAGCTATACCATACTATCCATATCTAATAGCATATGTAGCACTCCACTCAATATAGTATCTTGAGTTTCCAATTTAAGATTCTGATGGAGTGTTGAGATTGTTCTTGTAGAACTGTTGCCAAACACGAAAGATGTAGTTAGAATATTCGTAGATACTATTCATTTGAATCTTTTTTGCTTATAGAAACGATGTTGAGCTTTCATTTCAAAATAATTTGCCAACAGAAAGATATTATGTAAAGATTATCCATTTATGAATTCATATTCTTGCATAGAATTCAATTTTTTAATGGTTTTATAAGAACGAAAAAGAATAATGAAATTAGATAGCAATGAGAAATTTTTATAATTATATTAGCACTATTTTTAATTCAATAAATATTTATCATATTATTCACCAAGATTAAGTTTTCTTTAATACAATATATTTTCAAATTAACTTATCAAATTATTAATTATTATTAAACCAAAGACTATTGTATAACTACATTGAGATCAATTCAAGAATAATAAATAATTTACCAATTACTTTAAACTATTCTGCAAAGTTGTTTGAATTATGTTCCTTAATTGATTACTTAGACCCAAGTTACGAGGTGATATTTTGTAGTATGTAACCGATAGACGCAAATCAATTTTCGTTTCTATAAATGCTACTTTTAGTCTAGGAAAAAAGCAAGTATTCGATATAAAAAGTCAGTCATGCGAGTTATTGTTGCATTGGACTATAATGCAACAAGAGTTTTATCATTCTCTTTTTCTTTTATTCTAGCTCCACCATCATCCATTTGCGTGACTGTCGTCAGTGGAATACTCAATAACAATGAATTTATCTATTCACCTACTTCCCATATTTATGCAGCTGGTATGTTAAACAATCAATTTGGTATCTACAGGGCGTACGGTTATGCAAACGTCACTTCGACAGCAATTTGGACAGCAAGCCAGACCTCAACGTCCGGTACATGCTTTCTTGCGTTACAATCAGACCGTAATCTGGTTGTTTATCAAGTGGGTGGTAGTTACATATGGACACCTTTTATTTTCAATGACGGTAGTGGAAATCCATTCTGCTTCCAAATACTAGATTCAGGAAATCTGATATGGACTAATAGTTCTGGAGCAATTATTTGGCAGTCAAATAGTGCACAAACTGGATAGATTCTTCCTAATTCTCTATATACGAAAATGTATCTAAAGAACACAAAATACATCTTCAGTGACATCCTGTTGATACAGTGAAAAAAAATAATGCGATTGTATATTTCTATTTGCTGATAGGCTTCTCCTGAGTCTACGACCTGAGTCTTTTAAAATATATTAAACTAATTTATATATTATCATAATTTGAAATAGCTTTTGAATTATTTATAAAAATGTCCAGGTCGATTACTTAGTCAAACGCGAAATCCTAAAAAATATGTATTACTAACATCAACATACTTAAAGATAAAGACGAAATTGTATCTCAATTCGAATTATAATTTATAAGGATTTTCGTGTTATGAGGGCTAAAGTACAAACATAAATTTTAGTTGTGGAAACATGGGTATGATTGAAGATATTAGTGGCATCCACTTCAGTGTATACACAGAGACGGATATGAGTTGTAGCTCTTTGGGGATGCTATGAGCTCCTCATAATGCGATGGTAATATCAAGGGTCAGTTATGTGGCCAAAAGGATTTCTGAGCAAGTAGGCATTTTACATCTAACCATTAGTTTAATTTAAGACTTCAATAACAGCTTTCAAACATGAATCATCATACTAAAAACAATATCTTAATGATAATTATAATTCAGATAAAGATTTATCTTAAGCTATTTCGACTGTTTTAACATGGATGCCTTTCTTTTCGAAGAAAATAATAGTGAGTGGAAGTTTAAATCGGGATTTCCGTGGCTTCTCACGCTTCCTCTAGTTCTTAGCAGCCAGGTTGTGGGAAGTCAAACATTATTGAATATGTCTCCACAGTAATGAGAAAAGGCGGGTAATTAATATTGATCCAGAGATCATTCTAAAGCTCTGTAGATTCTAAATAGAATAAATATTGCGAATTTCGGTTTTCAAAGCAGCGAAAAGATCTTCTTGTAAGTGTCAATCAATTATATGGTCTTTCTTTTTAATCTAACAGAGTCAAATTAGAACAAACATAGGAAAGTATGAATTAGATGAATTCTAAGTTTAGATAAAATTCAACAGTGTATGTGTAAGTTCATCGAAGGACAAAATGATGTGTATGGTAGCTGACTGATGGATTGAATCAATATGTATAGCAGGCTAATATAGTAGTTAAATATACTGACTACGTTGCGACATATACCAACCCTTGTGCCTAATGCACGGGAAGTTTAAGTGATTGAGCGGAAGAGTTCTGAGTCAGGTTAACCTTCTGTCCAGAGCTGTAGCTAGTAATAGTTGTAGGAAAAATATTGGGCTTTTGAAACTGTCTCCAAACATTCTCCTACACTGCAAGGTAGCCGAAAGGCTAGGCATTCTTCTTCTTCTTGGATATCTTGATCTCCATCCAGACTAGCCCATCAGCATCCACATCTAGATCACAAACGAATTCCATCATTTCTAATCGGATTTGAAATCTCTTCAACTTACAGTATGAGTATTTTTCTTCTCAATCAGTAATCGTCCACTTGTAACTTCAAATAAAGTAATAGAATTCAATGAAATCTTTCATTCGAACAGAATGCATCAAGATTACCAAGTGAACAACTATTTCATTTGGTTGATATACGCTTATTTTGACCAGTATTCGAAATATTTCTCTTGTCAATTAGTAGTAGTCCACTTGTTGTTTCAAGTAAACTGATTGCATTTGGTGAGATCCTTTGTTTTACATGAGAGTAGATAGATTAAGAGAAGTCATTCACTCACCTTTATATAGAGAGATGAAAAATGAAAGTATGTCTTTGATAAGAAAAATGATCTCATTTTTCTTAAAATTTTATGCTGATTCAGAATATTTATTTCTATTGCAAAATAGTATTTTCGACAAAAAAAATAACCTTATCGATACTCTTTATGAATTAGGAAAAAATTAAGTGTCTTACTTATATATGGCCATGCCCTGCTAGGGTAGGTAAGTGTGGGTGTGGAGTGTGGGTAAATAGATGGCCCACATCCACACCCACATCTACACACCCACACCCACATCTACACACCCACATCCCCACACTCCATACCCATATCCACACCCCACACCCACCCACACCCACACCCTCCCACACCCACACCCTCCCACACCCACACCCCAGTCACATCCCACCCTTCGTAGGATTATAACTACATACATTCTGCTATATGGGAAGCTGTAAACTAGAATGGAGATCGTAATCTATGTTTAATATCAGAGCGCACTACTGCCTAGGCTACCGTAATGTTGCACAATTCTTTTCAATTTTGTGACATATTTCATGGCATAGTAGTAACAGTAAAGATAAATAGTCATTCCTGTTGCTTCCTGTCAGGTAAAGACTTCTCTTACCAGTTAGTATCAGAGACCGAAATGAATAAGAAAATCTCGATTCGATTCGGTTTCGATCTCTGATCAGTATGAGTTTTTTCTGGGCATGCAACAGTTTTTTTAATTATGTGAAAGACTCTTTGTGTGAGAGAGGATATACCAGATTATTTGAATATATAAAAATTTATCATATTTTATCAATTGAATTTTATATCAGAAACTGAAACCCAATCGAGTCGAATCAAGATCTCTTTATTCGTTTAGGTCTCTATGTCGTATCAAGTTATATTATCAAAACAAAATTGAATAATGGTTTAGCATTGAATGTAGAGCTGAGCGAAATATTCGAAGCATACGTACTCGTACTTGCATACGCACTGGGGTATCAAGCACTATACAAGATGAAGATGACTAAAGTCTTGGTTTCGCCCCGAAAATATTCAATTTTATTATTTTGCAACGTCTTTCCACAGATTTTTAAAGTTATACTCGAATCCCATAGGAAAATGAATAAGAGACAGAAAAATAAAGAGAATTTAGTTAGTATGTGGAAGAAAGTAATAGATTGATTTGATTTCTACTGAAAAATCTATATAAAACGAAATTGTTGGAAACCTGGACAAACTCTGCGAAAAAAATTGTTACCTTGTACTCAACTTTTTGAGGCTCGTTTCGATAATTTAATTTTTATTGTGTCTACATGACATAAAAAACTTCAAAGATTTTGATGAGATTTAAAACACATTTATTACAAGGAGATCATAAGCTACTATGCATTCGGACAAAAGCAATTAGATGTGAGGAAAGATAATTTGTATAGCAGATTTTTTCTGAATTAATTATATGAGCACATCGACATTTTAGCGAGAGCTTTTGGTTGGTTTGTAGAAGCTCTTTGATTTCGAGTATCCACGCTCGATCTTCCGGTCGACGACCATTAGAGTCGATACAATCAATGTGAGCACCTGCACCAAGGAGAAGTTCAATGACAGGTCTTGCGGTATCAACGTCGTTACAATCAGCGATCTGATGCAATGGCGTAGATTTGGTTTTTGGTTCAGCTTCGTCTATATTTGCTCCAGCATCAATCAACAGACGAATAACTGACAGAGCTGGAACTCTAAAACAGACAGAATCTGTTTATAAAGAAAAGAACTTGCCTGAACTTAGCGTCAGCATATGATACGTAGAAATGTTTTTCATAAATTTTTCTTCCAGCATTTTTAGAATACTACAAGAAGGGCAAAAAGCTTGAGAGAGAAATTACCCTATCGAGGGGACTGCATTGTAATCTTCGCCATGTTTAATATCATTGATAAATCTATTGAAAAGAGAATAACTAGTTGTCTCGGTAACATTTTGACGTAAAGTTCGTCGTATAAGACCATAAAAAATGCGTAGTTCATTATCATTTACTTTTTTTGATTCGATAAGCTATAAAATAAAGAAAACACATTCATTTCGATATTTATCAAAAGTCTAATTGTATTTATACTATTCAACTGGATAGGAATAATCTGAGACTTATATTGGTGAAATAAAAATCTTCGTAGAGATAGTTCAAATGAATTGATTTATATGGTTCAATGTACTGTTCCTTAGTGCTCATTCAATTAAGAAAGTACTTACATAAGTAACAATAGTTATGAGATGCAACACTTTATGGCGTAGTTGGTAATCTGCTCTGTCGAGTATCCATGTCCAAACAAGTTTTATGAACATGGCAGGTATAGTGTCTTCTTGACTCAGTATTTTGAATAAAATCTTTAAGAGCTCAGAAAGATAGTTTTTGTGCCATTTTGGATCATGCCAATCCTTGTGTTTCATTTGTCTTGCCAATTTATAAGCATGTAATCTTAATTGAAGACAACGATGTAATAGACCATGATGTCTATAGAAATAGCTTTGTTTGATAATTAGTCGAAAATGAAAATTAATATCGCCGCTTGTCAATGAAATTCGCTCACTGACGAGCAGTGCATGTATTCTCATTGCATTCTCATTGTGACGTATGCTGGCGAGTTCATTTAGTGTCTGACATTCACTAGAAAATTCGTACGCTTCGCAAATCTCAGTATTACATAATGATGTTGTCATACTCAGAAATTTTTCGAAATAACAATACGCTTGGTCACGTCTACTCGCATAACCATCAATTGTATATTTACAAGCGAGTAGTGCCAATTCTTCTAGAGCTTGTTGGCGAGGTAATATTTCAAAAAATATATCTACTATTGGTGTTTTATTAAAGTAAGCTGCTACCATCAATGGTGTGAAACCAAAATGATTTTTATCAAAATGTTCATTTTGATGGTAGATAAGTGCTTTGGCAACTTCGATATGTTTTTTGTGTATGGCATATTCAAGTGCAGTTCTTTCTTTATAATCGAGTATAGTTGGATCAGCACCATGTTTGAGAAGTAAATTGACTATGACGAGATGATTACGACGAGAAGCTGCATGTAAGGCTGTCTCATTGTAATTTTTAGCAGGTCGATTTGGATCACAACCTTTATTTAAGAGATATTCGACAATATTTGTATGACCATTTTGAGCAGCAACTATCAAAACTCCACATTTTGCTATATGCGCATGACTATGTTCAATTAGCTGTCGCACCAGACCGAGATCTCCTTTTCTACATGCATACCAAAGTGCTGTTCTGCCAGTCCTACATACGTGATCCACAATTGTTGGATAGACAAAACCATGAAAGATACTCTCTAACACTACTTCAATACATTCAGAATGTCCACGTTCAATTGCACGAGTAAGCGTCGTATGTTGATATCGTCTTTTAGTCCAAGGACGATGTTTATTTGACCAATGTGTTTTTTTCGCATAAGGGACATATATATGTGTTAAAATGGCATCAAGATAATTAGCATCATTATCATTGATAGCGGTCTCTATCCTATTTCTTATTGTTTTCTTAGTATGGGAGTAAGAGCTAATGCAGTGATTCCTATATTTGTCACTGCGTCCATGTATTATACTCCGTTTAAAAGAACGGGGAGAACTAGTCAATTCTTGTTTTTTCCATGCTCGTCCTGGTACTCTTCTTCGTTTTGTACAACCTTAAAAAGTCAAAAAAAATAAATATTTGACAAATGAATTGTAACGTTTAAATTTCGGTTCTCTCTAAAGTATCAGGTAAAAAAAGAATAAAAAAAAAACTGTATAGATGATTAAAATTGATCTAACATACGTGATGACGAATGTAATAGGTTCAGTTTTCTAGATTCTTTTGTTTGAATAGATGATCTACAGTTTTGTCGAAGTTGAGCATGTTTACGTTCATCAGATGTTACTAAAAGACTTATACTCTCGAACCGTAATTCGTTTTGTATACTTGTTACCATCATGAAAGAAATGTGTGTACTGTTGAAGCTGAAATTGAAGTAACAAGTTTTATATTGATTTATATCAACGAAAGAAGAGTGACGCAATAGATAATAGTCAGAGAAGATTGATGCAAACTATACGTGATATATGTTGGAAATTTCTTTTGTTTTACAACATTCAATGACTCACTTTACGATACTAAGAAATGTGGTTCGCTTTTGATGCAATACGTAAGAGAACTAAATTACATAGGCAAATATGACAACCAATCAACATGCATATACTAAAAGTAAGTGTGTCGCATGTGTTCTAGTTTGAAACACAATATGCGACACATTAAAATGAGACACGTGGTGCTCGTTGTCATACATTCTCCTACGATATATTTTGATAACACAGTTCGAATTCAGTCTTCAGAAGCGAATAATAATTACAATTTTTTACAGTTAACTACTAGCACATTAAATTGCAAACTACATATAGTAGAAATAACTGGATTCATGAAATGAGAATGATATATCAACATAATGAAATTAGTAGGATGATTTTGATGTTTCTGAAATAACTAATTTTTGTTTTTATTTTTAAAGTCCCTGGAAAGACCAATTTTATTCATATTAATGGAAGTTTCCTTTAATGATTGCAAACATTTATTCTACTGCCTATGATAGTAAAAGAAATAATAGTGAAATACCACAATCACTTAAACATCAATTCACATTCATCATAAAAATTAATCATTTTGAACAACAAAATGAGAGAAATTATTATTAAAGTAATATCAAATTAGAACTAGTTGCTGATAATTGCCGATAATATATCTTTTAATTATTTATTATTGTTAGTTATCGAATATTTTATTAATGAAAGCTTTGTTTTTTAATTAATTATGTAACATTTTTTCGTTGCATAGTTTTGCAAAAAAAAACAAATCACAAATATGTTCATCAAATCAATAATAGTTTGTTTTTTTTTATCGTACAATTATGAAAATAACCGATTTGTTATTTTGTTATTACTCCATCGAATAATTAAATTTTTGAGTTCAAAATCTTTCTACACTGCAAATGATAAATAAAATAAAGCCGATCATTTGAAATTACTAAGCGATCATATTATATTATTACTTTTATTGAAAGAAAAAAAAACGACAATTTCAACTTGATCGAAGATTTCTTGGAACGAAAGAAACAATTCGCTTTGGTCTTGTCTTCAATCTTTACAGATTTATCTATCTATTATATTTTACATAGTTGAAAATCATCTGAATATCTGTCATACATAAGAAATGAATATTTACGTTCAGAATTGAATAAATAATTTTTAAATTATTAAACTCAAAGTATCAATTTTTCATCATATTTTCCAACAAAGAAAGTTAAAACATGTTTGCACTTTTTTAAATGAATAATTTAATTCAAATAATAAATCGTTTGAATAGTCTGGAAATTAATAATATGAGACTAATTTCAATAATTTGTATCTTCTATAATAATATAAATATTTATCAATAATTTATCTTTAATCCAAAGACTAAATTTCAATAGACATGTAAGAGTGTGTACATAGAAGGTTAGTCTTCTCTTTAATTACACTCACATTCAATAGGTTCCCGTTTATGCAAATGTTTTATTTCAAACAAAATAGCAATCTCGAACTATATGAATACACCGTTTATCTATTCATCTATTGCATCGTTAAAAACAACACTGATCTTATAGTCGACATGTAAAACAAAATATTATTATATTTCTAAGATGTTTCATTGTCTGAAAATCTTTCAATATTTTGACCTGATGTAATGTTGTTGCATCGTCCTTGTCTAGGCATTAATCGGTTCTCAGACTTAACACATTTTTCTTCACGAGTTAGCCTTGTATTTAGAATACATTTATCATTTGTGAATATGAAAGAAAACAAATGTATCAAACTATGCTTCTTAAATTCTCAATTAAAAATCGAAATAAAATAATCAATTTTTGTTTTTTCGACTCGGGTAAGGTAAATATGGATTGTTCTCTTTTATTCTAAGAGAACTTGCACACATTAGAAGGAGCTTTCTTCAAAGTATTGCACAACTTTGCTGTTGAAATCGAAATACGGTAGTAGCATTTTTAATATTCTTAAATTATTCTTTTTCACAACAGAACAAAGTGAAAAAAAAAATTTGTAATAACAATCTTTTCTCTATGATATACATCCCTGGACAAAAGTCTTCTCCCCTCTGATCTTAGTCACTATAAAGACTAGAGATCTGAAAATTTGTGTGCACATATTCCATCAGGAATATATGTCTGAAGCACCATCCGCACCCCAATTGCTTCAAAGGAAACGAAGTTATGATGGATGATGTCAATTTTTGCTTTGACTTCCACAATCTAAAAAAGGCTGCCTATTGAGGTTTGCCCTGTTTCTTATCGAATACGTGATTAATTCGGAATATTTACATATGAAACGAAAGCCTAATCTACTGTCTTTCTTCACCCAAAAGATAAGTTCATCTAGCAGCATAATAATATCTTCAGTACCTCGACACTAACGCAATGATCATCAATGTGTCATTTCTCTCCAATACAACATATGGTTCCGAAACTTTCAGGAAATAATACTACGCTATGGAGAAGGCTTCTCTGAAAGTTTTAGGTCGATTTATTGAACTACTACTAAGTTATGGATTTTCAAAGAAAAATATATAGGTTTTTTACAAACTGATGGCTACAGTAGAAGTGAAGATAAATGGGCAGAGATCAGAAGTTTTTGTTTTATTGTTTGTTGTACGCAATATCGATGAGTAAATGTTGAAATGACGTACTTCCCATAAGACAACTAAGAATGATGTAAATGAATATATCATGTAAAAACAAAGACTCAATTCCGCTCGACTATGGCCAAAATTAGGTTTTTTCCACGAGTCATGCATTTGTTATCGGTGTGTAATAATCATCATGGAAAATATCTCATGCGAGAACAAGTAAAAAGGTGAAGACAGATAAATCACGAATAGCATAAGATGCAATATGGAGGAGCCATCTCTCTGTCACAAGTAACAATATCAGGTGTATTTGTCTATCCCAGATGTTCATATGCTGCATCACTTATCGTTTTCAATAACTTAGCGCTATACTAGATAAATAAGCAGGTTAGAAAAATACATCTAATATCGTTACTAGTGACACAGAGACAGCTTCTTCATGTCGAATCTTACTCTATGCATGATTTATCTGACTTTACCTTTTTTTTTTTACTTGTTCTCGCATGAGATATTTTCCATGATGATTATTACACACCGATAACAAATGCATGACTAGTGGAAAAAACCTAATTTTGATCATAGTCGAGCGAGATTTAGTCATTGTTTTTTGCGCAATATATTTATTTACTCATCGATATTGTGTACAACAAAAAATAGTGTAAAAGCTTCGGTTATCTGCCTATTTTTTTCACTTCTAACTTTGGATTTCGTTGATGTGCAAGAAAAAAGAGTATAACATGTTGATCGATTCCGAACTTGTTTTGTTTTTTTGAGGACTTGTTATCTTTTAGTATTTTTATTTTTTACCCTTTCATTGACTGACCTAGATTGAACCTTATATTGCGTAAGTCCACTCTTGTGGAATCATTGTCTATGTAATTTCTTACTCTACTATTAGAGTATTTATCTACATTTGCTTTTTCTTCTTTTAGATAATAAAGAAGGTATTTTTGCGAGAGTCAATATAAACATGTTTTGCTCAACATTAGTCTATTCTCTTATTGTTGTTGGTATATTCTTCAATATTGAAGCCTACAACAATGATAAAGAGTCTCCATTAGTATGGTTGATTCGTCGAAGGCTTGCTCGCTCCACCTGCCTTAATTCAAGCCACTGTCGGTCGAAATGGGGCTACTGTGGACTTGGAACAGCTTATTGTGGCGATGGTTGTCAAGCAGGTCCATGTACGAAAAATGGCGGCAGCAAAGGCAGTCCAGGTAATCTTTTGAACAGCAATCTATTTGTCTATGTATTTATTACGATAAGTGAGTAGGCGTTTTTGAAATCTACATGATAAATATCGATGGGTTTTGATTGCTTAAAGCATCTGAGAGACCTATGTTCATCATTAGTAGCCTGATGAAATGAGTGTTTTAATTAAAAAAAAAAAGTGAAACTCTCAGTATTTTGACGGAAAGCTCTTTTCATTTCCGATTCTTCGATCTGAATACTCAACTAAGAAATGCGCCATCAGGTTCCTTAGTAGATGCCATGTTTAACTTGACTTAGTTGAGTAATTTTATTTTTCGAAAAATACGATTGCGTCGACTGAAGAATGATCAGTACTTTCCTAAGCCACATTGTGAACTTTTCACAATTTTGTTTCCTTATCAATTGAAAATGATTTACCTCAAATTTAATACACATGTCTATGCTATACCAGTTCGATAAATGCGGCTAAGTTCAACATATTCAAATCCTATAATAAGCTAGTATATCCTATGAATAAGCATTGAGTTTCAAGAATAGTTCTTCAGACAGACGATGTATCAATATATTTTAAAAGATTTGGATAATGTTATTTTCGAAAATGTTGATCATATTTTTGGTACAAGTGTACTGCATGTTTGAAACAAAAACTCCGTAGTCAATCAGATCAAGTCAAGCATGCAGTTAAGTAGAGAATTTCGAGACGCATTGTTTTAGAGAAACATACAAATTTGAGGGCTAGAATGATAAGAGCTGTGATTCGAATTAGTGAGAAGTGTGCATTTTTCGAAAGATCCGGCAGTTGGATGTGGTTGTGGGTGAAGAGATGATCCATGCCCATACCGACAATCATACTCCATACCTTAAAGTTAAAATTTAGGGTGTGGGTATAGGCGTGAGTGTGTGTATAAATCTTCTCTATACTTACACCCGCACCCATACCCAAAAGTTTCGGACACCCTCGACGACGACTATCTGAGACTTATAAAGTTTTTTTGGTTTCGTGTTGAAAAATGAGACAGTCGACTTATACTTTTAATCATAATTACCAAGTGCTTTAGTAATCTCTGACTGCTTAACTCTGATATCTATGCTCACTCTTCGGTCTCACTGCTCAGCGGTAGATAGATTTAATATATTATGAATACTTAGAGTGAACTTCTTCAGATATATCTGGAACTGAAACTGTGTAAGGTGAATGCAGAGTCTAGTTCAAAACGTGTATCTCGATACTATATGGTCCGATTTCAAATATAGTTTTATTTAAAATAGATAAAAGCAACGAAGACCATTATGAAAATCACTCGAATTTCCCCACAATGATTTATATCAGCAGTGCTTTCTTTTATTGTTACAAACAAAACATTTATCTACACTAGTATGCAATAGTATAAGTGTGTCCAATGCACAAGAAATTTTTGACTGATGTATGATTATCAAGACCTGTTTAAGAATGCTTACATGAGCTTCCTATAGCAGAATTTCCTACTTCAAAGTACGAGTTTGATACTTATTATGACTATAATCATCATCAAAAAAACACTTACGAAGATACGCGTTATTTATCTGTGCAAAACTACAGGTTTTGTAAAAAAAAAACATTTTCCAGTATTCATCATTATTTACTTGTACGCAATCCTCATACTATCGCAAGATCTTTCATCCAATGTATTATCACAACAATCGATTTTCTGCAAATGAATCTCTAAGTAAACCTATAGTTTTCGAAAGTCTATAGCTTGTTTTTTCGACAATAATTTTGCACAGAAAAATAAATATCGAACATATTCCGAGAGAAAAAGGTCCGCTCTATAAAACTCATATATATTCTTTTTGCAAAAGAATTCTCATGAACACGAAAAATGAACCACTCCGAGCCATGTGTAGATGTCCAAATAAGAAAATGACCATAATTTCCATAACTTCGAAAATCACACCAGAATGAAAAGTAATCAAGTTGAAAATGTTTCGAAATTTTGTCAATCACGAATATTCCAATAATTTTAGAAAACTTAGAGAAGTTCCTAAGTAACGGACATAGTGAAAAGCAAACGTTTGAAATTTGAACATTCTGGAAGAATTCCGGGATATGGTGGGTTTTTTTTATGTATGAAAAAAGAAAACGTAGCCTAGTGGCAACTCTTTTCATTTGCTCTCAGTAAGTTTTAGATAAGACAATGGTCCTCTTTATAGAAAAAATCCTTGCAAACTCGGAGGAGAAGTGAAACAGTTAAGTACTTTTCAGAAACTAATTAGAAAAAGTTCTTTGAAATATTCAATGTGATTAATCTTCATGTCCTCAAAAAGATAGACAAGGAAGAAATAGAAAGGAAAAAAAATGGAAGACACAACAAGAGGAAAACAGTAATAGCTGAGACAACTGTAGTCATTTCCCTAGCAGAGTTTCTCGGTCATCTTCCAGGTTCCTCCGCATGCTTTGATTTTAGTCAGTACAGTGGAATCTACGACAATGGATTGAGCATGTTAGATCAAGGCTTACATAGAACGGATGTTCAGTAGTACCATTCTTTACAAAAATTGATACCGCACGGTTATTAAGTGTATTTGTATTGTCCTTTTCTTCTTCTTTATTTCGAAATTCGATACAATCAAACATTTACTTAAAAATACTCAGCAGTTGTAATAAAATATCTTTGGCATTTCCTGATAAGCGTTTTTGCTTTTACTTTACTACACTTATTTCTACTATATTCATGTTGCCTGTATCGCGCATCGTTGTCTTCTCCTATATGATAGTGCTTTTTGCATCGTCAAATGGTGATGCAAGTAAGGATAGTTTCTTTTTTTACTAAAATAATAAAAGGATAAATAGAAAGTTTATTGTAAAAACCAGAAGTTTTTTTTTTCTTGAAGTTAAGCTTGAGCGGTACCATTGCTTCTCCTAATATGAAAAAACATCTCCAGTAGTATTTTCAAGAAGATAGATATTAAATTTTTTCATGCGAACAAAAAGTATTATTATGCCAAAATTTTCTAGGTATTACGGCTGCTCAACTGAAAGCTATTATGCCTCGATGTAAACATCCAGAATATTTGAAAAATATCAATGCTGCAATGAAAGAAGGTTCCATTAATACATGTGCTCGAAAAGCTGCTTTTCTTGCTCAAATAGCACATGAAAGTGGTGAATTAGTCTATATGGAAGAATTGGCATCGGGTCAAGCATATGAAGGTCGAAAAGATCTGGGAAATACGGAAAAGGGAGATGGAAGACGATTTAAAGGTCGTGGCCCCATTCAACTGACAGGTCGAGCTAACTACAGAGCAGCTGGAAAAGCTTTAGGCTTGGATTTGGTAAATCATCCTGAAAAGGTTAAAACGCCTGAAGTCGGATTTCGAACGAGTGTATGGTTTTGGACAGCACGCAAATTGAATACACTGGCAGATAAGAATACACTCGCATCATTTCGAATGATTACTAAAAGAATCAATGGAGGTACGATGGGACAAGCTGATCGAGAAAAGTATTGGGGAAGAGCCAAAAAAACGCTTGGATGTTGACTAAAAGAAAGAAAAGCGATAACTCGTTAATAATAAAATATTACTGATGCAAATAGCACCAAACCCAGCACATATGGTGATCTCAAAGAAAATAACTATAAAATGTAGCACCTGCATACGACGTCGCCATTTTGAGGGTGCTCCACCACCCGAGATAGACAGGATCAACATTTGAGTCTTATCATAGCTTTTTCATGAAACTTCGTTTACATTCTATTCCATTTTGAGTTTGTTTCGTGTCTACGGTGTAGATATGGGTATCTGTCACGGCTTGGGGTGTGGTCGTGTGTGTCTGTAGAGAGAGGAGAGGGGAAATGGGTCCAAATTTCTACCATATATACTTCAATTCTATTAGATCATGTTTCACAAAATACGTCTTCTTTCGACATCTTTTGTTTTTTTCGACGTTTTCTACCAAATCCGACATAATCTCCATGCCATTCCTGTATCGTCAATTTGCTATAATAGACTTTGTTTGATTGATTAATCGTTTTTTTTTGTTTACGGAGGAAAATATGCACAGTACCATATACAGATAAAGTCGTTGAGACTCGAATTATGTAACAATTAGTTGGCCTAATGTGGGAGGAAATGGATAGAAACATCACGGGATGGAACTCGGTCACTCTATGATAGTAGAGTATCAGAGTTTGCCTTTCAGGAATCTGGCGACTCTCTTCAAACCCACTGCTCCCACTTAGTTTCTTCCTTCCCTCTCGAAGCTTATGTTGAGTTTTTTTCATAATTTCAAACGTAATCATAGCATGAAATGTTGAAAAATTATATTGAAATCCACATTTAAGATGGATTTTCTATGAATTATCTCTTCCTTCAACATAATCAAGAAAAAGTCTATGATAAGCATTGCGAAGTGCTATGAACCCTGCATGAATGCCACATTCAAGCAAACATCCATCATAATCGGATACACAAATCAAATCACACGATTGAATGGTTGAAAGGCGATGGGCAATGATGATAACAGTGCGTGAAAGATCATCTTGACGCTTCATATTGAGGGATTCTTGAACAAGCTTAAAGCAAAAATAAAAAAGAATCATTTTTCCAAAAGAACGATTAGGATGAAGGGGAAAAAATCTTTCTTTAATATTAATGTTCTGCAGTACAATGTCTAATTACATGTTTCAAGTCAATGGAAAATCCAGTACCTTCACAGTTAATGTCTCATGTGAGTTTGGTCAATATACTGCCACAAGAAACTGCCTCTTCCACAAAAACGAAGTTTTTGAATTTTGTTTTTCTTTTCCACACTCAAAAAATCACGTAAATTGAATTCATGCACCTGTTCGTTGTGAACGTCGAGTGCACTGGTTGCTTCGTCCAGTAACAATATTTTCGGATTGCGAAAGAGAGCTCGAACAATTGCGATACGTTGCTTTTGACCACCAGATAAATAAAAAATACCATTACAACTAATGGATGTATTGTAACCCTATAATTCGAATGCAAAATAAGAATTGTTCTTCAATCTAAAATTCATGAAAACAACAAACATGAGGTAAAGTCTCAATGAAATCGTGACAATGTGCTCGTTTTGCAGCACGAACAATATCTTCATGAATGAATTCGTTTGACAATTGTCCATAGGCAATGTTTTCTGCAACAGTGAGGTCGCATACGAGAGCTGGTTCTTGACTACCAAGGTCAATTTGTGAATATAACCAAGACAAACTCAATGTTCGTATATCATGACCATCAAGTGACTAATGATAATAGAGAAATTCCACGGGGATGGGTGTGAGTGTGTGGGTGTGGGGTGTAGGTGCCGTTCTTACGTGTATCCATACACACTTCTCATACCCACATTACACACCCGGTTTTTCGACTACCGATTCGGTTGAACGTTTCAAAACGATCGATTTTTTCCTAAGTCTCAATCCTGTTCATCTCTTGAGAAAGCTGGACAGAATCTTGCCAAGTTTATTTCATGATCTTGAGGGTGAGGTATGGGTGTGGGTCAGAGTGTTGGTGAGGGTATAAATGAAGAGAAGACCTGCACGCACTCCCATAGCCACACCTGGACCCGAATCCACACTCATTCTAGAGTGCTGTACGTTTCTTTTACTACGGTACGCTCTTCCATTTGAAACATTGTTCTATGATCTTGAACCCTCTGGTCAAGGTTTTGTTTGAACAATCATATTATAGTTCATCAGTGACAAAATACTGCGTTCTCACTGGTTGGACAGAATGACAAACACTTTTGTCTGAAAGATTTTTTCTTTCAGAAAATGGACCTTCTTGTAAATCCCAGCATAACATGTTCTTTATACTTTTATTTCATAAGAATTGAATCTTTTTCCTTTACTAAAATTCACTTAGCCTTTCTTTACTCTTCAATAGACATTATTCAAAAATTGACCACAAGTAAAAGTGATGAATGGAAGAGAAAACAATTTATACAATACAGTGATCATTCATTCCAGTCATTAGCATATTATCTCGAAACAAAACATAAGCTTCTCAATAATTTTTTTTTGCCGATCTTTTAGCATGATTTGAGAGCTCTATTTTTCTATTCTATTTCATCATACTTTAACTAATATCATGATAATAAATTTTTGATAAGGCTTTTTTCGTCAACATTTTACTCGTTGCACTAGCTCACAATGAGTCAGAGGGGTTAGTTTTTTAGTCCACTAATACATTGTATTAACAAGCAAAATATGTTATAATATGTAGCTTGAAAAGCTCTACAATTTCCATAAGATCACTTTTCAAAATGGACAAAGTTTTGAGCGATCGAACTTTGGCCGTTGTAAAAACTGATCGTATAGAATTTTCCTTTTTTTTCAAAACAATTACAATATGGTTTACTGGGTAGATTGTAGAGCTTTTCACGCTGCATCTTCTGGTATATGTCGTTTTTCTTTTGATAAAGCATATAAGGTGATAAAATGATCAGATAACAAAAAATGAATTTGTCATGTATCAAAAATATTATCTTTTTCCATGATCGAAATTTGATCGCTCAAAATTTGGTCTGTTTTGAAAACAAAAAGTGCAACTAGAAAATAAGTGATCTTATGGAAATTGTAGAGCTTTTCAAGCTGCATATTATGACATATTTTGCTTGTTAATACAATGTATTAGTGGACTAAAAAACTAACCCGTCTGACTCATTGTGAGCTAGTACAACGAGTAAAATGTTGACGAAAAAAGTCTTATCAAAAATTTATTGTCATGATATTAGTTAAAGTATAATCAAATCGCATAGAAAAATAGAGTTTTCTTTTCTCTATCAGTAAACAAAACACGTGATTTCTCGAGTAGGACAATTTTGCCTTTCAACAACGTGTCTGCTTTCAATATCTTCATCATTGTTCGAACTCTTCAACAATGTTTTCTATCTGGAATAAAAAAAAACTTTTTTCTGGACCATTTGTACACACTATCCATCACTGACGGAATTTCATCCTCAATAATGCAGTCACATTTATTCCGGCCTGTTAACTTTTCTTCTTATTTAAAGAATAAAAACATCAACATTTGTTTCTCTTTTACGAAAAAAAAGAAAAGTAACATCGTAATGTAATGTGTCGACGAGTAGAACATTTTTATTTGCTTACGAAACTTCTTATTAACGATACCCAATGATAATTCACCTCGTTCTCTGTGCATTTATTCTACTTTCATCGCTTCCAACGTACCTTTTACTCTGTTGCTTGCTCTTGTTATCACGTGTGAGGTCTGTGTTTTTTCTTTCTTGCATTCTTCATGACCTCTTTCATTCTTTCATTTTCAGCACCTTGTGCATGTATGTATTTATATCAGAGTAAATGCATGGCTATTGTCTTATTCAGGTAAGTAAACTCGACGACAATGGAAGAGTCCATAGTGACGATTTGCCATTGTCGATAGGCCAAACATACTTCACCAATTAAAAGTAGGAACATTAGAAAAAACCGTAAAACATATGGTTGCTTTTTTTTGTAGAAAAATATTATTTAGACGGCCAGCTGCAATATTATTTCTTGGTATTTGTGCTGTTTTTTCTCTATTATTAGGAACCATCTTAAAATGTTTAATAGTTAGGCAACCGATAGGTAACGAACTATTGTCATAAGTATATGTGCAACAGTCTACTCTTGACAAATCTGCCAAACTTTCATAGAACTTTCTATAAGAGGCTTTCATAAAATTGTAAAACGTTTCTCGCATGTTTCTTCAATAAATTCCAGAGCTATCTAATATAATTTATGTATTTTATGGAATTTTCTGAGTTTCGCCATTCCTTATCTTTTGAAAAAATACAATTTCTATGCTTCTTTACCAATACTTCAGAAAAAAAAACGCATTTTATAAGGATATTCTTTGTCCTAGGACATCATAGTGGACATTATCCGAAGTATTCGTTACTTTATCAATTTTTCTCTGCAAGGAAAAAACTATTTTCCATTCATATCAGAGAGAGCTAATTGTGACGAAATAAAGACAACGCAGAGAGGAGCGCTTTTGTAACTATGCTCAGGTCAATCATGTTCGGTCGTAAATGGCCGTATATCAACCAATTATAGTGGATAACGGCAGCTGTTTACGAAAGCCATTTACAATAATTCTAAACGATGCTTGGATAATATCGTAAGAGATAGTATATGTTCATCGTTTCCTATAGTATCTCGCCGTGAGCCAACGTTAAAATTAAGAGATGCCCTTGAAATTTAGAATTAAAATCTAACAATGTCAATGCTACTGCTTTTGTATAATCATTGATCATCAATACTTATGCTTTCACATTATTAGCCTCAGCTTTATTTAATACCGACATGTTTGAAAAAAGGTAGCTTTATTTTCGATACCACTAAACGCACGCAGTCTAGGTTGTGATAATATAACCTAGCATGTTACCGATACAATCCCATATGATGTCTCTAACATCCCAGACAATGCTACTAGCAGTTCAGATTAGGCTCCAGAAGTTATACATGCTTCATTGATTACGGTTGGCGATAATTCTAACATGAAACCCATTTTGTATACTTAAAATCCTTTTTAGCGCTATTAGGTAACACATCAAACACGACGGACGGACAATTCATAACCGGTGTGGTCGTACCCTATATATATATATATGACTGCCACCAATAGTTCAGTTCATTTCGATTCCGACTGAGATTCGAGTAAGTAGACTTAGAAATCCTGCAAGAAGTAGTGAGTACCTAGGAACGCCTGAAGATATTCTTTAAGTATCTATGACTCAAAACAAGCTTGTGTATCATGATAAACTCTTTCAGATTCATATTTTTACAAAAATTGCCTCTTGTCTGCTCAAACACTTGTATTGATCGACGAACCATTTTGAAAATATCATCAAAATGGTTTTCGGACATTTAACTGCCTACTTTATTGATAAATATTTGGGAGATTATATCGAGAATTTAGATTCCAAACAGCTCAAAATTGACTTATGGAACGGTAAGTCTAGTCTTTAGTTCAAAATCATCGATGACCCTTAGTTTTTAGGCGATGTTGTTCTGAAAGATTTATCTCTGAAACCAAATGCACTTGTAAGTCTCTTCATATCAGATCAATATCGAAACGTTAGTTTTCATATAAATAGGCCAATTTCAATCTTCCAGTTACGGTGGCTGCTGGTCACTTACGTAAGTTCTTTTTCAATCTAATTTATTCTAAAAATCGAGTAAAATATTTTTAGACAAATTGTCACTTCACATTCCATGGAAACATTTATACATACATCCAACCAAGATCACTATCGATGGTGTCTATCTACTTCTTACACCTAAAACTGGTTTGTTATTGTATGAAACATATTTTTTGTTATATTGATTTGTGTATTCATCTAGATGTTCAATATGATTCTGAACGAGATGAACAAAGTCAATACGAATCAAAAATGAAAGAAGTACATAAAATCGAACAATTTCGCAAAGAAAAAGAAGAATATGGTAAGATGAAGATCTTTTTTCAGATGTGAAGATTATTTGTTTTTTTTTCTTGCTGAATAGAAAATTCCAAAACAATCTCAAAACACAAAGATACATTCTTGGAACGATTACAAATGCATATTCTTCGTAATCTGGAATTTTCTATTAGTAATATTCATATTGCTTTTGAAGATAAAACAACTAAACCTGAACATCCATATTCATTTGGTATAACACTGAACTATATCAAACTTTTCGTATGCATAACAGAGTTTATTGTATTGAACAAAAAACAAAAATCAAATGTTTTTTGTTTTTCTATTAGACAACAAATACTGAATGGGAGCCTGTCATATCGGAAGAAGACTCACCAATTATGTACAAGTTTGGTGAAATGAGTACATTATCGATTTATTGGAATTCAAATGTCCAAACTCAATCAGACTTACCACAAGAGGACATTGTCGTAGGTGTTTTTTTTTTTGCTCGTTGGTTTATGTTTTATTTCATGATTAATATAGGATATATTACAAGAAAATATTGACCAGAATGAACAAAGAGTATCCGATGAAATGGCTTACAGTAAGAATTCTTTTTTTTTCTCATGTTCTTTTCACTGAATCTAGTCTTCTTCTTAGTTCTGAGACCGTTGAATATCCAAGTAAAATTGAAAATTTCTTTAACACCTAGTGAACAAGAATATGTTCGACCAGTTTTCGATGCTAAAATCGATTTGGAACAGATTAGTTTAAATATCAATCGTAATCAGGTTAGAATAAAAATAAATCAATAACTATTTCTTTAAAATATTCTTTCAGTATTCGGATCTACTCGATCTATTGGAATTTCAAGATCGTCTTAATTTAAAATCAAAATATATTAAATATCATACCATGATCGACAATGCTTCTATTTTAAAGCCAAGTTTACGACGGTAAGAATAAAGAATTGATTTTTATTTTTATTTTTATTTTTATAGATGGAAATTTGCTTATGCGGCAATTTTGCATGAAGAAGTTCGACCACGACTTTCATCGTATAAATGGGAAAATATCAAAACGAATTTAGATCGATTTCGCGAGTATCATGAAATTTACTTTCAAATATTAAATGGTGATGCAAGCAAAAAACAAAAACAACGTGCTCAAGTAAACTAATCAAATAATGAATATTTCGAAGTCTTTTTCTCGATTGATATTTTAGGAGCTTGAAAAAAATATTGATGTATTTAATTTACTCTATCTTCGTCGAATTGTAGAAATCGAAGTAAGAATTTGATTGTTTCTATTCAGATTATTTTTCAACGATTATTCTATAGTTTAAAAAGAAAAAGGCTGAACACAAAGAACAATCTTGGTGGGATGCACTAACTATTTGGTGGACTGGTGATTCGAATCAGGAGAATCCAGGTAGATTCATTCAATTAGATGTGATAATGCTTATCGTTCTTTTGTTTTACAGAATTCAACCTTGATAGTGCAACGGCAGCTGATGAAAAGAAAAAATTGTACGATGCCATTGGCTATGCCGACAATAATATAAAATCAAATTATCCAGAAGAAGTAAATATATCTTTAATAGTGTTTCAATGATCCATATTTGGATTTTAGTATGTTGATATTGATCTATCAGTTCGATTGAATATGCTCGAACTTAATGTCTGGTCGAATATCAATGAAAACGATACGCAGTAAAAAGAAAACATACCGATTGACTCGTATTTTATTCTTTTCATCGTAGATTTAAAGTCATTGCTTGTGCTGCTATACCTGATGCCGGTTTGATATTCAAACGTCGTCCGGCCAAACCAGCTTTTCTGTAAATTACTGATCATTCCATAGGTTTTTTTTAAAATCAGTTTGATTTGATTAGATTTGTTGTTGATTTGAGCTCATTTCAAGTATTTGGCATTGGCGAAAATGTTCTTCAAACAGAAATGTTAAATGATAATCGTCCAGTTCTTGCTCAAAATCGAGCACAATTAGAACAGAAAAGTTTCTTACATATCGAATATGAAACGAATCCATTGAATAAACCATCTGACAATCGTATACAAGTCATATCACAATCACTCGAAATCATTTACGATGCGGTATTACTTAGAGAGGAAAAAAAATATATCTTTCAATGTATTTTCTCTTCTATTAGTTCACTATCAATAAACTTGTTGAATGTTTTCAACCTGATCGGAAACGTGATTTGCAAGGGTAAAAGACAGTCGATTCTATATGTATATGATTTTTTGTCTATTGTTTTGTTTTTTTTATTTTCAGCATCAAAGAAATTGCTTATTCGACATTCAATGATATCAAATATCGTTCACATATTTTCTTCAATCATTATCTGAAAAATATTCAATCATCAGATATTGATATTGATCTTCCATCGTTCTATTTTCTCTTGCCTGAAAATGGTGTCTATCGACGGTAGGAAGAAAAGATTTTTGCAATTGAAAAGAGATCTTCCTTTGTCGTTCTAGTGGTTGTCCAGTACTTTGCTTTGATTTTGGTCATTTTACATTTAAAGGTGGTCCTAGTTATACTGACCAAGAAGTAGAAATAGGAAAAACAACTGAAGATGTTCCAGTATGGCCAATACTTCATTGTTTTTTTTCGTGATTAACTCGTTTCTCTTCTAGAGTACTGATGATATTCCTCAATCACCGTACTTTCCATTAAAACTTCGTTTGGAGAATATCCAATTACTCTATGCCAATCAGAGTAAGATATTCATTATTCTACTTTAATTCTATCTACGTCGATTTTAGACGATGATTGGTATAATGCTCGTGTTCAACGAGATTCTCCAATGCATTTGATCAAACCAATTACAATTCGTGTGGATATAGACAAGTGTATCTACTCCGACAATGCGATTTTACCAGCGTATGTAATCTCAAGAAGATTTCTAATGTTTTGAAAATCTAAATAATTCAATGATCATTTGAGATGGCAGAAAAATTCTTCACACAGAAGAATAACTGAAGTTTTGATTTGTTTGTAATTTTTTAGTTGGAAAATCGGTGCACACATTTCAACTATCGATGGCCGCGTGTCTGATGCACGTATTTTTGGTATTAACAAAATTATTCAATCTATTCCATTTCCTGAATTGAAAGAAGAAGAAGAAGTTGAAACTGAAATACTTGTCGAGGTTAGTAAAAATCTTTCCTATTTTTATTCTTCAATCTATCGTTTTGTAATAGTCAAAAACCTTCGAAGTCGCTGTACCTCATCGAGATACGCAGAAAACTTTGGAAGCCGTAGAAAATACGACACCAGTACAGAAAATTTTGCAAGAAGCGAGTAGTGCTGAAGAAGAAGGACAAACGAACGATCAAACACCAGAAAAGAACATCGAGTCACAAGATCAAGTGATTGAACTCGAAGCTACTTTTGAACTTCCACGAGTAAGTGCAAGATGTTCGAAATTTTCTATTGTATTGAATTATATCTTTAGATTGATTTGCTCATCGAAGAATCTGTATCGGATGGATCTCATGATACTCATCCATTTGTTCGAATTTCAATCTTATTGATTGCTGCTCGAGCAACAATGAAAACATACGACATCAATTTCGATGCTTCTCTAGCCGATTTAAGCATTGTTCATGAACAATTTATTACTAGTGATAACGATCGACTTCGTTTAATCGCTATTGAACGTTATCCTGATCGAGAAGATGCTCCATGGATTAATATCCATGGTTTACTCACATCACCAGTCAACCCTTTATTTGCCTCAACTCCTTACAATAGCCTTGAAAATCAAGTACATGTCCACATTGGTAAACCTGTGCTGATACTCCAGTTAGAAGCACTTTCATCTATTGTGCAATTTAAAAATGATCTTATGGAAAAAATATTCCGAGAGCAACATCATGTATCTACTAAAAGATCAGTCAATAAACGAACTGCACCGAAACAGGTGGTCAAACAGGATCCATCATCATCATCATCATCATCACCAATGCCAACATTTCAATTCGAAGCGAATCTCGATGGATTACGTGCAATCATTGGATCTGAACATTCTCAAATTCTTGATATTCAAATTCAAGATCTTCATGCTTATGTATTAAATTCGATCGAAAAAACTACGGCTAATTTACTTCTCACTAATTTCTATGTACTTGATCCAAATCCGAAAGCACGTTTCAATAAGATTATCTCTCAACTAGGCAATGAGAAACAATTGTTACGTTTCGATTTTTCTCTATTCAATTATCCGAAAAAATACGAAAAAACAGTTGATGATGTTGATTGTGATATTAAACTTCAATTGACCAAAGTGAATCTAATTCTTCTCTACAAGCATATAGATCTCGTTTTAAATATGATTGATATGTTTCAAACGAAAAGTATTGAACAGAAAGTTCCTTCAAATCAGACTGAAACAAGTACAGTCTCTGAGACGATGGAAAAATTTCAAAAACAAGCACGCAAACTTCGTCTCGATGTCATACTCAATGCTCCATCGATATTCATTCCGATTAGTTCCTATTCGAATGAAGGATTATTTATTGATTTAGGTCAATTAATCATTCAAACACAGACTATTGATGATTCACTTATGGAAGAACAAGTGATAACTATGAAGAATTTACTGACTAGTCGAGTTAAACTGAGTAAAACAAATGAAATTCTTGGTGATATTAGTCTACTCGAATGTGCTGAACTTAATATTTTAATTGATCGTCTTTTATATCCGGATAAAGCTCCACATCAATCACAAATTTTAATTAAAGCTTATTGGGATACGATTCAAATTATACTAGCTAAAGATGATTATGCATGTATAATGAAAATATTAAAGGAGAATTTTTCGGAGAAGATTTATCATAAGATTCCGAAACCTGCAATTCAAGATCAGTCGGAATTCAAACAAACCAATCAAGAGAAAGTTATTGTGACAAATAAAAAGTCCGATCAGAAAATCATCCAACAAATTCGTTTCGATGCTCAAATTAAGAAAATTGCTTTAACACTCTATCTTGGCAATTCCAATATCAGAGATCGACATACATTACGGAATGAAAATTTGATATTCGTCGATTTAAGACTTGAAATGCTCAAAGGTCACTTTCGTCAATTATCCGATTCAAGTTACAGTGGTAAAGTACAGATTCAAGAACTTTTATTAGACGATCGACGTGAAACAGATTGCGTAACTCGTCTAATTGATCGAGGCTTTCAAGTCGATCCGAAGGTACCAATGTTCATTGTTAATCTCGAGTCCAAACCAAAAAATGAACAAGGTTCGATGGAAGTTCGACAAGGTAGGTGAAAATTGTTGATTGTCCTTGTTTTGATGAGTATTGATATTCTTAGTCAATGCTCAATTGGAGAGTTTTTACATTTGTATGAGTCCAGATTATTTACTGGCATTACAAGACTTCTTCATCTCGAGTTTATCATCAACCGATGAAAGAAGACCACATCCACCAATGATATATTCTGAACCAGAATCGGATATTAATTACAATCTACCATTACCAGCAAAATCTATCGGCACCTATCATCGATCATTCAGTACTCCAGAGAGAATATCCACGACGACTCCCGGTATATCTTCTCTTCGTTAATTTCTTCTCGAAACTAATTCTTCTATTGTAGTTCCATCATCCGAGACTGAAAGCGATATTGAAACTCTAGTTGATGTTGTGATCAAGACTTCAAAAATCATTTTACTTGAAGATCAACATAATACTAATTCAAATTGTCTTGTACTTGATGTAAGTAAATCATGAAAATATTGATTCATATCTAAATATAAGATTTATTCAGATAACTTCACAGATTCGCATGGTCATTGTGGATGATAATACGAAAATATCGGCTTCATTAAAAGATTTGACTATTTACGGTTCGAATTTTGCTGAATTGAAAAATTCGAAAATAAAATATCGCGTAAGAATAATATTTTTTTTCCTTTTGTATGATTATCGATCTCCTCTGTATGAAAAGTTTTTGCAACCGGTGGATATTGATGCAATTTTAATAATGAATATCGAACAACAAAAAATCGATGTACGTATTGGAGATATTACTGTTCAAATTCCTCCAGCAATACTACATACTATTCATAATGTAATGAACTCCATGGGCAAACTTCAAGTAATGACATTTGTCTTATTTCTTCTTCAAATCTGAATGTTTCTCTTTAGACTGTTGTACAAACTGAAGCAGATAAAATCAATTCGAAAACACTCTTTGATCCTAAACCATTCAAAGATTCGAATTTTTGGTTTATTGAAAGTTAGTCGAAGAATTTTACTTTTCATATATGATATTCTTTTTCATTTGATAGATAACGACGAAAAACAAGAAGTGATGGAACAAACAGATATTTTGGAAGTGACTACTGGTACTCCTTCACAAAAGAAACCTGCTATTGAAGAAGCACAGAAACAGAAAGAAAAAGAAGAACAAATGCAAACGCAGAATATTCGTTCTCAAGAAGTATGACGATAAAAAATTCAAGAATTTCATTGATATCGTCATTTTTAGTTGATTGTCAATTTGAATATAATCGAAGTTAAACTTGAACTTGGTACAGGTTCAGTGACAAAACCAGTTATTGCTATGTGTCTTTCAGATATGTTTGTCGATGTGAAAAATTGGTCTAGTAATGTATGTATAGAGATTTTACTGAATACTATATTCAATATTTCGTTATTCAGATGAGTATTTCTTCGAAAATTCATGTTGAATTAGCTTTATTTAATGATAATTTACTTGCATGGGAACCATTGATTGAACCAGTGATCAATGAAAATGGTGATGTAGTCTGTCCATGGTGCATTACATGTTCAACTTCGAGTGTAAGTAGTCTTAGTTAATTTTTGTTTGCTGAACAATTTTTGTTTTCTTAGTATGAAGACGAAGAAGAAGAAAATGATGAAGAGGTAAATCATTTCCTATTCGATTGTTTTCTTTTTTAGTAATGAATTCATAATTCACTACTACTATTTCAGTCTCGATTCTTACTCGATGATCCGAAATCATCATCAGATAGTGATCAACAACAACAAAAAGAAGAGAAAAAGAGTTTAGATGCTAAACAAGTGATTTATATTCGAGCTGATTATTTGCTCAACCTAACTGTAACAAAGACAATGTTAGGTCTTGCTCAACGTCTATCTACAATGTTTGAAGAAGCTTATAATCGAGATTTATTCTTGAATGAAGATGATAATGATAAATCAATGTTATCAATACACAATATGACAGGATGTGATATTGACATTAATGATATCACTGGTGTTCAGGTAAATTAATCGATAATTACATTAAAAAAGAATTATTGATATGTATTTCATTTCAAAGTTTCTCGAAGATAATCAATTAAAAATGCCACTTCGTCTCAAATATTACGATTCAATTCCATTGACAATTCCTAGTGATCGATTATCAGCAACACGAATTCCGGCTATATCCGAACAAATAGTCAATCGAAGACAAGAATTTTTTGTTAAAGTAATATAACTTAATATTTTCCATGGAATTTCATTGAAATAATTATCTGTACTACTTAGATTGGTGATGAAGTAAAAACAGTAGATATTAATCAAACATGGCGACGAGTATTTGACTTTGGTCCATCATCCATACCAAATTGGCCTGTTCAATTGCTTTGTGATTCTCAATTACACAACTTTCGTCGACGAATTGTCCTCAGTTCAATTATTAAAGTAAGCTTTGTTTGTTGGATTATTTCAAATTACCTTTATTCTTTGAAGGTATTCAACAGAGCAACTATGCCAGTAATAATTTTAGATATCGATTCAGTAGAAATGGGAAGAGTTCGTGAAGTCGCTCGTATTGATGCCGGTGAAGAACTTTATCTTCCATTGAATCTTCTCTATGTTCGCACTTGTCCACGTCTATTTATTAGTATTGATGAGTAAGATTCTCTTCTATTCTTTTAATTTCTGATGATTAATTTCATGCAGTGCGGACTTGACGGATCAAGGTCGAGATTTCATTTCGTTCGACTGGTCAATCGAGTCTTCTGCTGATCGTGTATTAAAAATGAATAATGGCAAAGAAGCTCATTTTGTTGTATGTTTCTCGATTATCAAAGCATAGATTTCGTTTCATCCGAGTTTTTTTTTTCGTTTTCTAGTTTTACAAAGAATCAAAAGAAGCTTACTCAGAAAATACAGATGAACCTATTCGAACTTCATTTCATATCTACGTCAAATTAGCTCTTCATATTATTAATTTATTATCACTCGATGTTCAATGTTGGATTGATGTAAAGTAGAATAGATATTTGATATTTTCAACAATCATATATTTAGACTGTTGAACAAGTCGATTTGAAACCAAGCCATTTGTATCATAGTGTTTCAGGTGGCAAAAAATCTGTACTGAAATTTGTGGTATGTTCTCTTTCTCAAATGTAGAAAAATCTATGTCGAACAAAAAAAAATGCATTCCGAGATGATCATAGATTTGAATGAGAAAATGATCTTTCAAATTCAAATTATAAAAGACATCTATGTTCTCTATCTTAGATTCCATGCTATAATGATGCAACATGGATTTCGGCACTAGTGGATTTAGACAGCAAAAGTGATAGTAGTCACAATGATCATGTCGTCATATTTGATAATGCTACCACGCAAGAAACATTAGTATGAATTCGATTGATCTGTGTGTTTTTTGAGTCTATGCTAAATGTTCTTCTAGAAATTACTCGTGCGTGTGGATACCTATCGACAATCGTATCGTGTCTCGCTGTATTCTCCATTTTGGATTATCAATTGTACTGATATGAAATTTGAATTGAAGGTTTGTCGATATCTTATTCATTTGAACAATCATGTTTCTTGCTTTAGATTGAAAACGAAAAAACGTTGATCGAAGCTGTCGAACCAGCATTTTTTGTTTGTCCAAAACATTTTGATAGTAACAAGAAGAAAAAAGTACATTCATCCAATGAATTGAACATCATACTATTAGTAAATCTTTTGATATTCTAGGGTCATATACGTCTGTTCAGTATGGGACAAGATGAGACATTATCTGAATGGTCCGAAGGCTTTTCATTGGATGTTATCAAAACCACTGGAGTGGCTAGTTGTAAAGTAGCCAATGATCGAACCTATATGGTAAGAAACAATAATACTGAATACTATCTTGAACGGCTTATTTCACATGATAGGTCGCTATTGATATCGTAACAACTTCATTTGGTATGACAAAAATTCTAACACTTGCTCCATCGACAGTTATCATCAATAAATCAACGGTACGATCTATTCCTTCTCTATAGCACATAATCACCTTATCTCATATTTAAAATCTAGATCGAAGTTGAAGTTACTGAAGCACAATCGACAAGAGGAGAAGAACAATGGAGATCAATCAAACCTGAAGGAGTAAGTTTTTCTTCAATGAAATCTTCATTATTCTTCATTCAATGTCAATATACTAGATTATTCCATTTTGGCCACGTGATATCGAACAAGGTCTCATGCGTGTTCGTTATACACATAATCGTATCTCTTCAGTTGTATTTCGATTCAATGATAAACATCGAGCATTGTTGCATATGGATGACGAAGAGCGTCCTGCACTTCAAGTTGATGTTGTTGCTACCGATTATGATGGTTTTCGTATTGTTTTTGGCGATTACAAGACTGGTGATTCGCCTGTTCTTATGGTCAATTGTTTAAAAAACAGACCCATTGCATTTTGTCAAGTCGAGGATATGTAAGTTTGTCATTCTTCTTTCTCTTCGAAATAATAATTTTATCGAAATAGTCGAACACAAATTTTACCACCACGACATTATGTCTATTACACATGGATCAATCCATTGAAACCACAACAATTGCTCGTCTCATCTAATAGTGCAAGTGCAACAATCGAACTGAGTGTATGTCAATTGAATTCATTAATATATCATATATTAATTTTCTTTTTAGCCGCTTTGTGGTCGTCTGGAAACTAATGATCAACAAATTGTGTATTATGCGACATTTCAAGATGGTCCTCAAATGGTCTTAATCTTTAGTGATGATATACAACTTATTGAAATAGTGACAAGCGTAGGTGTAGAAGATTGATTTGTTTAAAATCTAAGTTCACTCTTTGTTTAGATGCCAACATTAGGTGAAAAGATGAATCAACATATACAAATTGGTATTTGTGATATTGGTATTGCAGTCATTGATGATATTGCTCGAAATGATTTATTTTATATTAGTATAAATAAATCGAAAGAAATCTGGACAGAAACACGAAAATATCTTGTAAAACCACTTTCAAGTCGGCTCAATCATCATTTGAATGAACATTACAAATCATATATAAAAAATTTCAATGATGATCCAAACAATCAAGAAATTATAAAGAAACAATATCGTATTGATGATAATCGTGTAAGACTTGTTTATTTAATTATAGAGTAATTATATTAATCGATTTATCATAATAGAATGTTTCATTCGATGAAGATACAGCTGAATTGAGTGATCATCAAGACCATCGAATATATGTTCATCGACAAGCATTAGATGGACTCTGGATTGGTTTTGCCTGGTCAACGAGTAATCAAGCATTGCATGTACGGATCAATCGTATACAAATTGATAATGAACATGAATTTACTCTGTTTCCCGTTGTTCTTCATCCAATTGTTTCCAAAGCATCAGGCACTGATGCACGTATGTTTTGTTTTGATCAGAATACGAGAAGGATGATTGTTTGTGTTTATAGCTGGAAAACCATTCATTGAACTTAGTCTATTCAAAACGGCACAAACACGAGCAAATATACAACATATCAAGTATGACATAGTTTAATCAAAGACAATTTGATGAAAAAAAAAACAATTGATTTGTTATTTAGATATTTGAAATTACTTATACAAGAATTCGACTTTTGTGCTGATCAAACATTGATCATGTCAATTCTTAACTTTATCAAACAAGAAAAGGTTCATTTCTTTTTCTCTTCCTATAATATTTCTAAAGTTCATCTGAAATACTTAGGCTCCAGGAGCACCAACGATTAATATGGATTCCGATCTGAAACGTATTAATAAACCACTTGAAGCTATTACCATCGCTCAATCCAATAGTCTACCATCAGAACCAAAAATATTCTTTGATAATTTGCATCTATCTCCACTTAAGGTAATAAATATCGTCCAAGGTTATAAGTAAAAGAAGAAAGTACTAATGAATCGATCCTAGAAATAGTTGTTCTCTCTTGAAGAAATTTAATTGAAAGTTACTTTTCATATTTGTTAGATTCATGTCAGCTTTTCAATGCATGGCTTTGCCACAAATGAGCAATTACTAGCCGAATATCCATTGGTCGATTTCTTGCTGCAAACATTGAATGTAGCAGAAGTGCAAGATGTCATTTTAAAGTACGTAGATTATATATTCGATTGAATTGATTATTCTATTTCTATGTAGATTGAACTGTTATGAACGAAAGGGTGAACAATTCACCATAGCGAAATTGGCTGAAGAAGCTCAAAATCATTTTCAAAATCAATTCATGAGACAACTTCATGTTGTTGTTCTCGGTCTTGATGTTCTTGGAAATCCATTTGGTGTTGTACGTGGATTTGCCGAAGGTGTTGAATCCTTCTTCTATGAACCGTACAAGGCATGTTTTGATAAAAGTTTTTATATTTAATTCGAGACTCGTTTTTTTTCTTTCTTTCAGGGTGCGATGGAAGGTCCAATAGAATTCATCGAAGGTATAGCATCAGGTACTCGACATTTAGTTGGTTCTGCCATTGGTGGTGCTGCTGGTGCGGTTTCAAAGATAACTGGTGTGGCAAGCAAAGGTTTAGCAACGTTAACATTCGATCAAGACTACCAAAATGCTCGTATCGCTCGTAAAGAAGTGGCTGGACATTCAGTATCTGACGTTGTTCTAAGTGGAAAAAATGTTGGCAAGGTTAGTGTGTTGAACCTGCTTATTATTATTTCCATGATGATATATTTATTGTTTCAAATAGGATGTTGTTCATGGTGTGAAAGGTGTCGTAAAGAAACCAGTAACTGGTGCGAAAAAACGAGGCACAACTGGCTTTGTCAAAGGTTTGGGTAAAGGTTTTCTCGGTCTTGTTGCACGGCCAGCAAGTGGTGTTGCTGATTTTACTAGTACATCATTTGATGTGATCAAACGGTGAGTAGATTTTTTTTTGTTGATCAAATCGTTCGATTGTGCTATCTTTGTAGAGTTGCTGTCCATGAAGGAGTCGTTCATCGTGTTCGATCTCCACGACATGTTGGTCGAGATGGTATTATTCGACCTTCTAGTGCTCATGAAATCAGAGGATTTTATATTTTCGATGTTAGTTTTTTCATAAAGTTTCTTTCTCATTGAATTTCTTTTCTTTCTTTCATGTATCAGAGACTCAATGATGAAAAGCACGGTCCATTAGACACTTATATTGCTCATATTGATTGTACTGAAGATTGGTCTACTATCCTTTTGGCTAGTTTCAAGTAAATATTACCTATTATTTTTGAATCAAATTTATTCACTAGTGAATTTTCTAGACGATTATTAGTTTTAACTAGAAAATCCGACTCGTCAGATGACTATGAAGTTGAATGGGATTGTCATTACAAAGACTTGAAGGGACCACCTGTTGTCAAGTTCAAACCAAGCGAAATTCAAATTCATTTAAAAGTAAATTCATTGATAATTTTTTTTTTCTAAAGAGCTAAAATGGAATTGTTTTTTCAGGAACCAAAACTACTTGGATTAATTAAAAAAGATCGACCGCATGAAACATCGGTCCTCTATCGAAATGCAGGCGAAGCTCGTGTATGTCATTTCTCTTTGGTCATTGATTTATTTCTCTCTCTCTTTTTTCTCTACTAGTATATCGTCGATAAAATCACCCAAATTATGCGTGCTAAGGAACTTTAATTTGATTATTTTTTTTTCCTTTGATTTCAACAATGGTTTTCGTGATGTTATCATTTCTTGTTTTTTTTGTACGTATGCGCTCAATGGCTCTATTGTTAACGCTATCAATAGCATTGGATATTTGTTTTGTCCCCGCATGTGATATATTTACTCTAGCTTAATGATCAGAAATAGATGTAATAATTAAACTTGAAATAACTTTCAATTGCAATCTGTCTCTTTCTTTTATGTTGATTATATCATTTAATTCAAAACCGTTTGGTGGTATACTTTCTACATCCATATTGCAAATGAATAGCCGATCATTCAACCAGATGCATCGAGTGTAGGTATAGATGTGGGTGTGGAAAGATTTTCTCCAACTACATCCTCACCCTCCGTTTATGGTACTGATAAAATACGGATCGTATTACTGCATCAAATGTGACAGATAAATACGCACTGTTTGAGGTACTTATTGACACGGCTTACGGCCGTAAACTAGACATTTTTTTCATTGTTTACTGACCGAAAACGGCCTGTAAACGACATCTATTTTGACTAATTTGAGTCGAGTTAGTTCTAGAATACTACACTAAAATTTACATACGATTTAGCAATAACTGTTAAGCAACAAAAAAAACTTTATCCGAGCAATTTTATATTATTAAATGTAAAATAATTAATTCATTAAATAACACTAGTAATTTCATGTTTTAGCAATAATAAATGTGGAAACCTCGGATTTATATCCGAGAGTTATGTGTACTTCAAAAAGTGAATCAGACAGAGGAGTCACCCTAGAATGTGTGAACATCAAAATTGTCCTGGTAAACCCTTTCTGTAAACACTTAATTTCTATTGGCTATTGCTCAGCCAATACGATTTGGAGGCAAATACAGCTCAGATTTGAACTCTTCACCTTGATTTACCCTAAGAAACTCGTTTTTCCTATAACTTGATTTCTATTGGTCACTGCTCAACCAATGGGATTTCGAGGCGAATGGAACATAGATTCGAGTTCTCCATTCTAGAAAACCTCGAACTATCATCTCTGTGATGGGAAGATAGAACTCTAATTGTGGATCATATAGAGCGTGGACAAAAACAGAACCGAATTCCGATTAATTATCTTTGCAATAGGCGAGTTAGCTTTCTTGTTTCTTTATGTTTTATATACCATTTTGTAGCTCGTGAAATTCTCTATCGAATGGTATATAATAGTTGGGGTTTTATCTGACTATGATAGGAAAAGTTTTTTATGAAAACAGAGAAGGGTCTATCTTCTCATAGGGAAAAATGACTATTTTTGCAATAACTCAGCAATGGTTCGGCCAATCATTCTCATCTTCGAACTCGACCGAGACATTGTTAAGACTGAACTGTGCAGAAAATTTCATCGCGATTGGACTCTCCTTTCAAAAGTTATCGTGTTAACGGCCGGCCGGACGGACGGACGGACGGACGGACGGACATACTGACCGATTCTAGAGTGTACTCACTTTTCGAGTACACAAAAAAGAGAAAAATCACATTATTTTTAGTTACAATTGATAATAAAAAAAAAAAGGAAAATGAAGAAATAGTATATTATTGTATCAATAAAGCTTTTTTGCTTTAGATGGTCTACCTCTTTTTCCTTTTATACTAATGTCCACATTTTTTGCCTCTGGTGGAGGTTTGCAATATTTTAACCTGATGGACATACCAATGATGTACTTGCAAATATAATTTATAAGGAATGATAGCCAAGTGTGTAAGTTGCTTTTCTCCATTCTTCAGCATTGTTAGGCAAATATACGCACCATATGTTGAAATAGACGGACGTGTATGTGTGAGTGTGGGTATTAGTCTTCTCTTCGGGCACACGCACAATCTCCTTTTTTGTGTACTCAAAAAGTGAGTACACTACTAAAATCGGTCAGTGTGTCCGGCCGTCCGTCCGTTTATTCGATAACTTTCGAAAGGAGAGTCCGATCGCGATGAAATTTTCTACACAGTTCAGTCTTAACAACATCTCGGTCGAGTTCGAAGATGAGAAGGATTGGCCGAGCCCTTCCTGAGTTATTGCAAAAATACTCATTTTTCCCTGCACCTTCCCTATGGAAAGATCGACCCATCCCCACTTTCGTAAAAGACTTTTCCTATCATAGTCAAATAAAACCCCAACTATTATATACCATTCGATAGAGAATTTCACGAGCTACAAAATGGTATATAAAACATAAAGAAACAAGAAGGTTGGCTCATCTATCACAAAGATAATTGAAGAGAACTAGGTTATATTTTTGTCCACGATCTAATTGATCCACAAATAGAGCTCTATCTTCCGATCACAGTGATGATACTTCGAGGTTTTCTGAGATGGAGAACTCGAATCTGTATTCCACTTCCATCGAAATACTATTGGTTGAGCAGTGACCAATAGAAATCAAGTTATAGGAAAAACGACTTTCTTAGGGTAAATCAAGGGGAAGAGTTCAAATTTGAGCTGTATTCGGTCCCAAGTCCTATTGGTTTGGCAATACTCAATAGAAATCAACAGTTTAGAGGGTAGGTTCCCTAGTATAATTTTGATGTCCACACGTTCTAGAACGACTCATCTGTCTCATTCACTTTTTGAAGTACACATAACTCTCGGATTTAAATCCGAAGTTTCCGCATTTATTTTTTTTTAATCTCTTCACTATTATTAGAAGACTTCAGTTCCATATCATTGTAACTTTCACTATCAGAAATATATAGCACTAAGCATTGTGATTGAGCCACTTGTATAAATTATATATTTTATTTTATAAAATTGAGAAAATACGTATTTGTATAAATAAATGAATTTATATTGACCTTTTTTATATAAAATTTATCCTTAATTTAAGTAAATTATTGCTCATTTAAATATAAGTCTTACAAAAAACTAAATAATTGCGCAGAAAACAAAAAAAATAGACGATAGTTTTAATAAAGATGTGTTTTGATTTTGTCAGTCATATCCAATTTGACAAATACAATGATTTTTATTTGTAATTTTAAGAATTTTTGCCACTAAATCAGATGCATTTACTGGAGTTGAACTATTTTTGTCTATACCAAATTCTTGTAGAGAGATTTGTTTGAAAGTCGGATGGGTCTCGACAAAAGCAAGTAATGCAGGTAAACTTCTCTCACTGATTCGATTACATGAGAATTCTAATTGAGACAATGAATTTGGTAATGAAGAGAGAATTGTTTGAAAACCAATGTCACCGATTTCACATCTATCTATTGTGAAACTTTGTAGAACTATATTGTTCTTTAAATAATTAGCCAACATGATGCAATCTTCGTCACTAAGCGAATTAGAGACCAGCTCGACATGTCTGATTTTGTTGTTGTTTTCAAGAAGTTTTCCCAATTCGTTGAGAGCTTCGAAATCCATTCCCGCGACTTCTAATTCATTGATAGAATTGTTTTCTTTCAACATTCGCAATATTTCAATTTGGATTGATTCATTCTGAATCGAATTGACAATTTTCAAACTCGTCAATCGACACTGTTTACCAAAGAGAGTTTCAAGATAATTCAAATAATTTCGATTAAATTCGTCGAAAAGGTGCAAATTCAGTTTGCGATAAGTCGTATCATCTTTGGTTAATGCTGTAACCACCAAGGACCAATCAGCGTCATCCAGTTTATTCGATTCTAATTGAAGATAGCCTTCCTTACGCAACAATTTTCCTAACAGACTGCTATTCCATACGATTTTAACTGTCGATAACGATGAGGATGCTTGTTTTTGGAAATATTGAGTTGCAAGATTATCATCGAGAATTAGTTCTTTGAGATTTTCACCATTTGATTGAAGATAAGAATGTATAGTAGGAATTTTTTCTTCATTAATTTTGTTTTCAGCCAAATCAAGATGAACGAGAGTCTTTGGTAAAGATCGTGCAAGAACTTCGAAGCCATTATCATCAATTTTATTAATTTTGAGCCGTTTTAGAGCAGTTGTTTGTAGAGAACGAGTCAACTCGACAACACATTCAGAGTTAATTGGAACAATCCAACTTTCTCTGAAATATATAGAACAAAATAATATAGAAGAATACTCTGGTCTATGACAGATTGATCTACCCCTTGTCAGCTTGATAATCACCGTAGACTCTCATGTTGAGAGAAAGCAATGTTTGATTATTCGTCAACATTTGCGAGAACACACGTGCTGTTTCCAAATTAAACCGTATTGAGCTTATCGATAAATATTTGATGGAAACATTGTCTTTGAGTGATTTCAATAAAACAGTCAAGCTTTCATCCCCGAAATAATCATAACTATGATACTCAAACTCGACCAATGTTTTATGAGATCCAAGAGTTTCTATCAATTTATTAAAGCCAGGTTTGATTGGTTCATAGTAGTATGCACTACCATCCCAATATAATGTTAACTTTCGTAGAGGATGCTCTTTATTATTTACTTCTTCGAGTACAATCTGCCAATCGGCCTCCTTTATATTGTTAATTTTCAATTCCATTTTAGTACCATCTTCTATGTATTTCTTTTCGAGACTTCTTTGTCGAACCAGCTAAAGAGAAAATCAAATTTCACATCTAATCATTCTTTGAAGCAAGCTTCGATAGTTGGTACTAGAAATCTATCAAATCCTTCTAAATCTTTGCGACAAAGTGACAGGATTTGGTTCATCCATACAAAATTTGTACCCTCGATGCTTAAGCGTATTGCCATCATGACATGTTTCCTATCGACATATTTTCTTTTTACATTTTGAAAGAAAAAAAATTCAACACTTGAGATTTTCGAAAAAGCCAATTTTAGTCTTAGACATGTTTCAGAAATGAAATGTGCACTTCATATATAAACGGAAGCAGACGCGAAAAAGTATACCTTGCTGTAACGGAGCCATTTTTCGTGATCATCGTTCATATCACCTATAATAGATTCATGATTCTCCGCTTCAGACAGTTGCAAATGTTACTCACTAGCCTTGTCTTGATCAACAGGTGAAATAGACATTTTTTTTCTTATGTCCAAAAAAAAGCAACGATCAAACGTTGTGACGACGAGAATGAACAGGAAAAAATGACTATAGACGTTGTGAGGCAATACCTTTTCAAGCTAAACTTGCACAGAAAAATAAATACAAATTCATCGAACCATGACAAGTAATATACGATGATAATCATGTATATGTGAAAGTATTTCTGTGTGCGTTTAATACACGAGAAGGATGAGAGTACGACATTTTAGACATTCTTGGCTTCTATTCAATCACAAAAATAGGATGAATTTTCGAAATACAGCTCGAAATATCTATTAAACTTCTCTTTTTGGACAAAGATTAGATGATTTTTCTCGTTTTTATATAAACTTTTCTTGTCTACATGTGAGCGTCGTTCTTGCTCTATCAACTGGTATTCTCTCCTCGAATGCTCGATAAAAAAGAACAGAACGCACAAGAGTGATAGACAACAACAAATACAAATATTAAACGGTGACGTATATGTATGTAGCATACCTGTAAAAAATCTCTGCACCAGTGGAAACGTGTGTCCACACACACGTGAAAAAGCAAAGAAATGACTGATTAAAAGGTATTTCGAAGAACAATGATGAAAAATAAAATATGTCATTCATGTGTTAGTGAAAATGATTAACTGATTAAAGTTTGAGAGCATTAGATGGAGACGTAGATGGACAACTTGGTGAATTGGGAGAGCATGAAAATTCGATTGATGAGGATTGACTGCAACGATTTATGGTAGTAAACACGGAATATTTGTGTGCTAAGCTAGATGTAGTAGAGCATTGTCGTTAGCGTAAAAAGGTATGAACACGACAATCAGTGCCAAAGAAATGACTCCAAGAGAGAGATCATGAACTCAATTATGGGGATGAAATGTGGCTTTCTATCTGTTATAATCATCGACATATGTAATAGCAGGATCTCTAAACAAACATAGATCTGAATATATCTATTCATCTAGATATGGTATGCTGATCTGAATCACTAAGCATGGAAAGATTTTCGTTGGAATGTGATTTACCTAAAAATGGAAATGTGGCAATGTTTAGAATTACAATAGCACTCATCTGCCGAGTTTTTCTGATAATCATCAAACTAAACACTCCCAACGAACACATTATTCGTACTCAGCAAAGTTCTCTCCCTCTGTCTCTCTGGTCGCTAGACAAATTATTGAGAATGCAGGGTGAATGCGAACTTCTACAACGTGTTTTACTACGGCTCAAGCAGATCATTAAGTGACACGACTTCTAGTTTGATTCTCATACAAGAAAATCAAATCGAAATCAAGTAAACTCTATTGTCGAAGCAATGGCAGGTGTAGGAGCAGGGATGAATAGCAGAAACCATGTTTTGGAAGTAGGATGTCGGATACAATCATAGTTCGATTTTTCTGATGTCGAAAATATTTATAAATGAATTTTTGTAGCGGAACATATTTAGATATAAGATATCCCATGTAATCTCTAAACGTGTTTCAACGAATACTCACATTTAGATGCATTTCAGATATAGACATATTCCATTCTCGAGTATATTTTGAATGTATCTAAACATATTCAAGCAACCCCACGTGCCTAAAATATGTTTGTATACGTTTCAAGATTATACAAATGACTTCTTTTTATCGAATAATTAATAAAAATATTGCGCATTAAAATATTTTTGATTGTTTGTATGAAATGTCAAAAAGTTTGTTTGGGCATTGCTCTTTTCTTTCATATCAACAGCTAAATAAGATTAACTGTGTATTACTAAATCACTGTTCATCCGTATTTTTCAGAATATCATCATTTACTCGTCTTTTTATGTCATATGACATATGGTTTTAGTAGTGTCTACCTAATAACGGTTTTAATAATATTTTTCTTATAACAAATGTTTTTTTTTGGAATTTCAGACCTTATCTTTCATATCACACAAGTCCCTAGCTTTCCAAACGAGAGATTTCATTTTTAAATGAACGACAAGCCTACCAAATAATTCAAGCACAATATGATTGGAACGTTAAAGTTAAAAAAAATGTTCTGTAAATAAAAATAGCTACTTCTAGTCTATTAATGCAACTCATTGAAAACTAAAATGAATTAAGAAAAACGGCTTACGAGGAAAGTTCCCTAAGTTATCAATCGCTTTTTCATAGAAACATAGATGACTGTATGCAGTTCATTGTACTGATTTCAAATATCAGTGTCTTAGCAGTCCTTAGACCTTTCAAGATTCTGTGTCATTACTTTGAACTTCCTTTTGATAAGTGTGTTTCTCATTAAATTCAATCTTTTAATCAGTCTATCATGTACTATTAGACAAAATATCCACGAAAATGCTTTTTAATAGACACTTCAACATTAAGTGTCCAATGCTAAGACGGACCGTACAACAGAAAAAGATTAAATATGTAAAGGTGTCCTTTTTTTCGGGTTAATATTTTTCACATAATAAAAAGATAAAGAAATGATTTTGTTTTATGCATTGTATTACATAATCTCGCTCAATTTACTACTTGCTTTATATTTTGAGAAATTAGCATACGTGTTTTCTATTTCTTTTATTGTTATATACTTTACTGAATATAGTACAATTATGATTAATTTGTAAATTTATGACGATAAAACGAAAAGAAATGTCAGATTACTGTTTGTAGTCAATATACGAATTACTTCGCTGCTTTACATTTCAGTATTTGACACTTAACGTTGAAGTGTCTATTAAAAAGTATTTCTGTGGATATTTTGCCTAGTGGTACATGGTAGGCTGATTAAAAGATTGAATTTTATAAGAAACACACTTATCAGAAGGATGTTCAAAGTAATGACACAGAATCTAGAAAGACCTAAAGGTTGCTAAGACACTGATATTCGGAATCAGCACAATGAATTGCATACAGTCATGTATGTGTCTACGAAAAAGGGATTGATCACTTGGGGAACTTTTCTCATTAGTCAGTTAGCAAGTCAATAAAAAGTTACAGCGACAAATGCCATCAATCAAAAAAAGACCTAACGACAGTTGCTAGGTTGGTTAAAAAACCAAGCAGATAATGGCGGACACTGCAAAAAAGCAACTATGCAATGCCTTTGATAGTTCTATAAAATCTTAATGTAAAAATTAGAGAATCATACCATAAGATCGTATTAGATTTGTACAGCACAATATAACCAGAAACGCTGGCTTTGAGGTTATCATATAAAATCGTGTAAGATCGTAAATAGTCTTGTAAGAATCAGATGAAATCTTTTCCCCAGATTATTTGACTTGGGATATTTATTCTTCAAGTGTCGTAAAATACGAAAAAAAACAAATGAGGAATTGATTTCACTTGCTAGGAAAAACCTTTCAAAATTCGAAATTCTCTCTTCAATTTTTTTCGAATAATCTTATATCTAACACTATAATATCAATTATAAAAGTTATTTGTAAGTTAAAAAAAACATCATAATGCAAATTCTTTTTAACAACAGAAGAATCACTGAAGATTTTATATTATAAAAATTACTTTATCGAGAAAAAGAATGATTCTTTTTTTTATTTTTGACTTAGAATATCAGATACTCACTTTACAAAGATCTTCATTTGTATGTATCAATTTTAGTCTATTAAAAGTATTCCTTTTTTTTTAATGTGATACTATGAAAGGAGATAAACAAAAAAGCAATACCTCATCTATTTATTCTTCTTTATGATTTCATTAAAAATCAAAATCGAAACATAAGTTTAAAGATTAGTTAGATCAATTTTTCATATTATTCTGAAATAATTAATAGAAAATCGATGAAAAAATGTATTTGTGTATGAAATACAGTATAGTGATATTTAATATTTGAAAAAACAAAACGAAAATAAACATATAGAAAAATAATATTCATTTTTTAGGATTGCATTTTAATGTTAATTATTTCAAATATTGAGGATAAATATTTTTTATTTGTATTTGATAATTTACATTCTTATTAAGAAATAAATATTAAGTATTAACATAGCCTGTAATCAGAAGGCAATACAAATTTCTTCACTTTTGGATTTCTGTTTATTTGTCCTTAATTCGAAATAAATAAATCAATATTAGAACCGTCGTGCTCTATTCACTATCAATAATCGAATGGAGATGCATTGAAATGTCGCATTGTTAGTCACTGTGGATTTTCGACTGATTCCAACGACCTTCAATTATACTGAAATGAATTTCATTCAACAAATATGATTTTCTTTTGCTTTTTTGCCATCATTCTTCGTCTATTCTTCCTGTGAATGTTTTATTGTTGCTATGTGGAGTCCTTCTCGATGAAGTGCATATTTGAAAAGAGTTTTAAAAAGAAACGAAAAAAAAAAGAAACGAAACAGACAGAAATCGAGAAAGAAGAGTTGCCTTACTGCAAAAGTAAAGTAAGAAATCATTGAAAACAAACAAGTAAACGGTACAACTTACAAAAAAATTCTAATCAACAACAGCGTATTATTGAAATTATTAGGTACCAGCAACCAAAATCAATAGGTGTGAGTATTGGCATTCTATTCACTCAGACCGAGACCCACATTCATACTCATGCGACTGACCAAGAGTCAAAGCGAAAAAA